GGGACCCGCCCCGCTGCTGTGACAACTCCGGACTAGACACGGCAGAGCCCGCTTCAGTTCCCGTCTCTTAGCGCTGCTCCGGCAGCTCCACACCAACAGCGAGCCAAACACACGCTCCTCTACAGCTCGGCGCCTCAACTCCCTGCTCTGCGTCCCACCGCCTGTGCGGGGCCTTCTCACACCTCCAAACGCTGCAGAGCTGTTCAAAATCACCCGATTGAAAACCGCAGTGTCCCCGTTCCAGTTCCAGCGCCAGGCTGGAAGAGGAAAGTTTAAACACAGCTCACTCCCCGCAAGGTCTCCAACCGAAGCAAAGAGATGGTGGCCTCAGCTTTCTGACTGAGGTTATAAACACTATTAAACGTTCACTGATGAGCCACAAACTACGGTGTCTTTGCAATTTTTTATTAATAAATATCTTAACAGCACCAACAACACTTGGACATAACCCTGCAATAGTGTGCACAGGAGCTGCGAGCCACACGTCTGCATTGTCACACAGTGGATCATTTTGTCCTTTCTGTCCCCTTGTGAACAAAGTAATCTCTTCCATAATAATAAACCCTTCATAAAATTCATCAAATCAATGCCAAAACGCTCATTTTAATCTTTTAGGTTTTCAGGTGACTCATCAAGTGTGTACAGTGCTACAAGTTCAAACCAGATTGTTGTGGCTCCTTTTCAAGGGTCTTCTCTTTGCATATACGTATTGACGAGACTTTTGGCCACGTTAGAAGTTTCCATGTGACCAAAAGTAGATTAGCATTAACAGTTTGACAACAAAAACTGGAAAAAAAGAAAGTGTATTCATAGGAGTTCTGTACATTAACAAGCATTTATACAAATATAATTCCACCAAATATTGGCTTGTAGGTTCAGTTCTGAAATATGGTGATTCATTTGCATTACCTAACCTCGACTGCTAGTATGAACATGAACAAGAACATTTCAGGCTCTGTAACACCCACAGAGTACGTCTGGTTCACATGGTGGGTGCAGATGTCTCTTGCTGTACGTGCAGTTTACTCATGAATAAATTAAGTGGTAAAGTGAAGTTTGAACAACATCGTCTGTGGTGTAGTAACATCAGCAACTGCAAGTTCCTGGCCATCCACGAGCCCCAGTTCTGAAACAGAAAGAAAAGTCTGAAGTACAGCCAAGCCATGTGGTTTACTTTTTTTGAATCAATTTTTTTTAAAAAAAGTTATGAATTCTATTCCCACAAACACAATTAAACGAAGCTGCAAACAGCTTATGAGCTAAACTTTCATCTAATTCCCCCAGGAAACTAACAGGCTTTGTCAAAAATGCTTCAGACTACTGAGGTGTGTTTAGTTTACAGTTATCAGCTTGCTTTGTTGCACTGTTTTTCCTCTGCATCTGCCCACACATCATATTTAAGCAATTCAAAGCTCATCCCTGCACAAACAGAAAGAAAATGAAGCACATCCTAGGGCGTAGCGCAAACTAAAGGCAAACGTGCCATGCAGAGGGACAAGAAGGACTTTGTTCAGAGCAGCATCTTGAAAAATCTACAGCTGACAGCTGCAGGATACCTTTTAGTGTCTTGGAAAGATTTGGCCTTGTCCGTTCTTCAATGGAAGCTACTGTCTGCCAAAAATAAAATTAAAAAAAGCACTGAACATTTAATTTCAAATTCAGGAAAGTGAATTAAAATAAGTTAAGGTTATCAAAGACAATTAAGTATGTACAGGTTACCTGTAAATAAAGTGTTTTATTTCCTCCATACATAGTTGCTGTAATTGCAGGAGACTTCATCTGCCTATGTATAAAACATTTTTAAGAAGAACAATCAGGTAAATATACACTTAGAAACTGCCTCTTTTAAACACTACCAAAAATTCTCAACTAAGTCAGAATAGCTGCACACTTACAATGAAGCATTATTTGTCAAGTAATCCAAGATCTCCTGCAATTTAGCTGATGGGGAAATCTCTATGTTTTGGGGAAGCTGGCTGCAGGCTGGACAGTTCTCCTACAACAAAGGAGCAGAAGAATGAATGTTACATTAAATATGATGTTTAAAATGCTGCTAATAAGGTCTCAAAACTGTTTGTGTGTTCGTTTTGTTTTCCTTTTTAAGTTTTAGCTCTAGAAATATAATACTATTGAAAACACTAATGACAAACCCCAATTCCTTGTGAAGTTAGTCACTATTTGGCTTCCAACAGCACCTAATTTGTGAACTATAAATTTAATTTGATTAAAATTTAAGACTATAGACTTTCAAACCAATTGTTGCTATAACCTCTCCTTGAGATTTGCTTGAGTTTTCTTCAGATTGTATATCTTATAAGTCATGTTTCCTGTATTAAACACCTAAAAACAATACCCTGGAGAAGCAGCAGACAAGTAACATTGTAGTTCCTGCTTTAAAAACTTCATAAATAGAGTCAAAAGATGCAATATTTGGTATTAGAAATACACACAATCTGTGTAAGTTTAATGAAAAATTAAAAGAAGCAGGCCTGCAAGCCTTTAGTGGCACTAACCTTTCTTTCAGCTTCAAATGTGTATGTGTACAATCCATCCACGTCGTTGAACACCAAGTAGTTGTTGAGAGGAATGTACGCGCTGTAATGACAAATATTTGGTGTTCATACATGCCATTAGGTCCTAAATTAAGTATGTTATTAATAAAAAAAATTAAATACCTTGTAGCTATTTTAAAAACTTCAGTGGCACAAACAGCTGGAATGAGAAAAAAAAAGACAATTTCTCCACTTTCTGGCTCAGGCATTAGTGCAGAGTTGTACCAAAGAAGCTTTTTTGTTTTCCCCCAGTCTCAAAACACTTTTTCTCAATGCCACATACATGAGCTTAAAATTTATTATACAGTCACATGCAGTTTCTCTACAGAAAACAGAAATGAGACAGTCACAATAAACCAGACCCATTTAAAAATTACCCTTGTCCTCCCCAAGTTCTGTGTTGCCTCACAGAATTCTGAACCCAAGCAGAAGTGAGGAGCTCCTGAGCATACCTGCAATGACTGCATTTGTGGAAGCTACTGCTGGAATAATTCGTTTCACCACCCCTGTGAAAACAAAACATACAGCTCACTCTGTTCCAAGAAACTACACTGAGAGGCAACTCTTAGCCAGAATAATTAAAGAAGGGTGCACCCAAAAGTACTTTAAACTTTCCAGGAGTTTCTGTAACAATAAAGATTAGCAACATGATGCTCAAGTACTTCTGTATTTTTTCATTTTAGGAATGGATCAAGCTTGTTGAGAAAAAGGTATCACAGTGGACAAATTCCAAACCCAAGTGTTTTGGAATTAGGGCTGAAAATTAAAACTCAGCTCCATTCCCACTTAACTGGAGAAATGCATAAAGGGCAGACATTTGGGGCTGGCCTTCCTTCTGCAAGAACAGGCTTGCCAAACTGTGCTGGCACCTTCACCCAGCTCTCCTTACAGCCCCTTGCATGTACATAATTATTTCATAACTGGAGTTTACATGTATCTGTAGCCAAAAAATACTAGAGCAGCCAGTATAAACTGCTGCAAAGGAAACTACTACATCTGCAATACACTGGAGGGAATCTGAGGAAGATACACAAGGAATCAGTTTGCTGGTTTTTGACAGAAAAGCCCATAGCTGAGGTTCATCTGTGGCATTTCAAATGCATCGTAAGTACTACAAGTCAACAAACAGAAAGAAGTTAAGCACAGATTCTGGAGATTTTGTCTGAGATTCTCCACTTCTGCTCTATAAAACACTAATCACTAGCAGCATGCTGCACCTGCATGTGAATAGAGGCACACACAGCAGTAAAGAATAGATGCTATAGTCTTCCCCAGCCTAAAATGACACATAAAGTGTTGCTCTTGCTAAAGAGGCACTTGTGTTCTTTTGTTCCTGCTCTCTGACCCAGCAAAAGCTGTCACAGTGTAAACTGTGGAGCTGCTCCAGGTTAAAAATAAAATGGCAAAAACAGTGTTCAGTTTTGTCCCTGCTAAGTTCCTCTGATTCACCACGGATGCCTAAACATTGGATTCATCATAAAAATATTTGTGCTGGCACAAGAAACAAGGTGCTTGTTTCTGTTTTAAGATGTTCAGGGAGAAAAGAACTATTTCTTCCTCAGCAGAGCTGCCAACTTAGTCATAACAAACCCAAGGAATGCCAGTCCAGCCCAGCTGCAAAGGCCACACCCTTACCTTGGGTGAGTCTGTACGTAACCCCTTTAATATTAAATTGTGATGCTCTTTCTAAAGACTTATGGTAAATCCACTGTATATGTTCAGGGTCATCTCCATCCAGTGCAACACCTTCTGCAGGAAAGTTAAGAATTTACAGGTAAGTTACAGTTCTTCAGAAATACACTGTTTTGTCTAAATAAAAAAATCCCTTCAATGTGCATGAAAACAAATCCCCCATTAAGCTGTTACAACCTGACACTTTAATCAAAGTATCATTTCTACAAACATCACAACTTCTAACACATTCTGGAAACAAACTATTTTAACTTCATAGATTTACAGAGATGTTACAGGTAATACTTTGAGTCAGGAAAAACTGTGCAGTACCAGAGAAACACAGGAACAAATATGGAACTGGAGAGTGAGACACTGAAGAGAAAATCCATCACAGCTCATTGAACAATGCAACAATGAGCCACCTAAGGTTAACAAGTCAGATTGCTTTATTAAAAATGGCTGTGTATGAAAATATACAGAAAGGGAAAAAGAAACATCAGAGAAATGTGAGTTTAGCACCAGTGCAATGTATTGCTTACCTCCAAAAGGCTGCTCCTTTGGCCACTGCAGTATCCTGACATACTCAATGCAATGCTCTGGCAGTCTGGGCATAGATGCAATAGTACACATGGGAAAATTGACCTGGGGTGGGCAGGGGAAGAAAACCAGAAGAAAACATCTAATATATCATGTATAGTGCTAGGCAAAGAAAGAAGCAAATCAGAGGGATACAAAAAAAAAAGGAAACATCATGTTTGCAGTTACCTGTGGTGGGTAAAGCTCAAGGGTGCATTCAACACACGCTGTCATACCAGGAATAATCACACGAACGTTTCCCTTAAAACCTTCTGTCCCTCCATCTATCAAAGGTATGATGGAGCTTGGGTCCAGGGCACCATCTTCATAACGTAAAAATGACATCTAGCAGACAAAGAGATGGGAGGTGGTTGGGTTTTCTTGGTTTTCTTGGCTTCTTTTTTTTTTAAACAAGATGCAGGAAGAAAAAAAATCCTAAAAATTGTATTCTTCATGATACTCCACAAGATTGAATACTTACTATATAGTTTGTTTTCATTTTAGTTGTTTAATTAAATAGGGGTTTTAATACATAGTGTACAAAACACTAATTTTTCAGTGCACAGGACTTCAACTACCACCTTCACCCTCCAACTCCTCCTCCCCTTACACCCCTGATAAATGCTATTATTTCCTTATAGTATACCAGAACAAATGGTTGGTTGGTTTAAAGGATGTGGGGCTGAGGTTGATTCTTGGTTTGGTTTTTGTTTTTAAATACTGGTAAATACACAAGATCATTATTTGATAAATTCACAACAACAAAACTATGTATAAACAACTAAAAAAAAAAAAAAGAAATAGATAGAAGAAATCTGTGAGTTTCAACAGCCCTCATTTCATTTTAATGACATATCCTACACAACTCTGTTCCATGTTGGTTATCTATACTCAAGCAATAACCAGGCTTTAAAGACTGCAGACTTTACCAGCATGCCATTTATCCATCTTCTTGCAATTATAGAGTCAAGCCCACAAACAATAATATGAAACTCTAGGGGGAAAAAAAAAAAAAAGACATTATTTAAAGTCTAGATTGATGCATACTTAAGACAAGCAAAGTATTCTGTCCATAACAGCCCAGAGGAACTGACTGTAGTTTAACCACCTCCCTGAGGTTATTTCCACAACAGATGCATTTAAGTTTTGTCTGTTTGTTACTTGTAGTTCCAGTATGCTGCAGAAGACTGAAATAATTAGCAATCTAACTTCCAGGAAAAGCAGCAACAACTGCAGTGTTCCCATAAAGCACCAGTGGGTGTTTGGCAGGCAAACAAATACCACTTACGTCGATAGAAGCTCTCATCCATGTCTTGAATCTTTTTAAAATAGCTGAATGTAAGCCCAGTAAAGGATTATATTTAAAAAGTAGTTAGGTTTACTGCCTTCTATCTGCTAACCTGAAGCCAAGATGCTACCTGATGTATTACTATAATTTTATATGACACTTTTTTAAACAACTAAGCAACTTAAAGACTCAAAACTCCCACAGCTGAAGCTGTAGCACCTGACAAAACAAGTAAGGGACACAAGGTAACAGCCACAAGCAGGAGAAAGCTCATCAGGGAAACTATTTAGGAAGTTCAAAACATGCACTCTCACAAATTCCTGTATCAGTGAGTGCTGCTCTGTGTTTATAAACTAATGTCTCCTATCAGTACATGCTCAAAACACTCTGGTGAATAAAACTGCAATTCTAATATCTCAATGAAAATCAGAACATTGCATTTGAATAAAAAGACTCAGTGGGAACAGACAAAAGAGGTTCTTAAAGCTTTGCCTTCTTTGCCCTTGCATATTTCCTGCGTGTTAATGTCACAGAGAGAGAATTCTCAGCCACCAGCTGAATGAATCTCTTCTTTGCTGCATGAAAAAGAGAGGAAGGCAGCAAAATGCTTTAGATAGTCTCACCACCTACAGAGTTTTCTAGGTTTTTTGAAGCCTTCAGGGCTATTTTTTACAGGAGGATACGGCACGACGGCGCAGTTGGGGACGCGGCTGTTGAGGAATTCTGCTGCAACTTCTGCTTTGGGTCGCCCCACGTCCTTCGGTCTGGGGAGAAAACCCAAGCACTGTTTTAGTAGGTTAAATCTCTCCAGACTCTCTGCCTTGCAATACTGAACTAAGGGACTAATCACTCCTCTAAGACAGTTTATTGATATGGGTAACGTTTAGGCATCCCTGTAAAGCATCAGATATGAGAGGCCCCGAGTTATCTAAATACGTCCACTTAACTCCAGTTATCAATCAGTACCAAAACCTATCCAACAATCTTCCATTTTGCTGGGAAGAAAAGGACACCAGAAGCATTGATATTTCAATGCATATACATTATTCTTTGGTGTCACCTTTTCCATTAGTCATTAGCTGGATTTGAATGGTAAGGAATGTATGTTGATTTTCTTCACACTCAAACTATGACACCACAGACCTCAAACCAAGAAAAAAAACACATGCAACATTTAATTAATTATGAGCACTACTGTGATATTAAAAGTTCAGTAATCTTCAATGACACCTTGTTCAACCAAACTGACTCTATTCATGTATTTTGCTGAGGTACATTGTCAGAACAAGCTGCATGGTGAGAATACTACTCACCGAAACAGAAACTGTCGGTTAAGGTTAGAAACATCTATAGTGTCCATGTCAATCACATGGATCTGCCTGAAGCCAAACAGTGCCTGCAGAAAGAGACAGTCAACATCATGTAAAAAGAACTGAAATACTCACAGTGGCCCAGAATTCACTCCATATGCCAAAAAAAAAAATGGAGTAAAGCAAAAGCATCCATTGGGAAAAAAAAAGCAATATTTGATGATACACCATAAACACTTCCCTGCTTGACAGGAAGAAAAAACAAAGTTTAATCCCTCTAAAATTTCTTCTGAAGTTTTTGAACATTCACCATTTTCACAATGGGCATAAAGGAGCCTGGCATGGCTCACATGGCCTCAAATCAGAGTTCAAAATAAGCCAGCACTCCTCTCTGCATTCAGGGCTGGAGCACAACACAAACACCAGGAGTCACCACGCCGTGCCTCTGGCAGAGCTCTGCCTGCTCTCTGTTTGTCTACAGCCCATCACCAGGATCTGGCAAACAACTTTAAAGCAAAACTGTCTTAAAACTGCATTGTAGATCTGAGCTCATGAAGAAAAGCCATGTCATGCACAAAGAAACAATGTGAATTAGGGTTGAAGGGAAAGAAAGGCTGTAAACCACTGATTTTAGAGAAAGGAAATGTGTCGTGATGTTCTGAAGCTACCTGAAAAAAATCTGAGTCCCAACCCCTACCTTTTTTTCCTTTAGGACTCAATCTTTAAATAACAACATTTTCAAACTTTTATTTTCACATTTTCTGAATAAACAGAGCCATTCCATGTGTAGCAAGTACTTCAAATGCTGTATCAGGAAACAGATTAAACAAACTAACAAAAGGACTAACATTTTTCAGCATAAAGTTAATTTCTGCAAGAAAAGCAGCAAGAATTCCTGTATGTCACACTGGATACTCCTGGTGCCAAACAATCACTTTGTTGCGTTGACAAATGCCCAGCTTTTGCTCAGTGTTATCAAAGCAGACTGGGAGAGCCTGCTAAGGAGCAGAGCGAGCCTGGGACATCACCAACATACTGTTTGGAGTCTTATCAAATTTATATTGTCCCAAAGACATGAATCCATGTGAACAGAATCTATATTTACTTATGTGAGAGACTGAACTGTGAACTGTCAGTCTCAAAGATAGCCTTGGATGGAGGACTTATGAGCTTGACTTTCTGAAAATGATAAAAGACAATAACTCAAAGCCTTTTTGGGGATCCTGTAGAAATCCTCCTCAGCAAACTATCGACAGACTGAATTTATGTCCCAATAAATGCATAAAACAGTAACTCTGGGCAGAGGTTAAATTCACCAGCACTCAATTCCCACAGAAAGAAAACTGCCTTGGAGCTATCATAGTCTCTTCAAGTAAGATCCTGCTTAAATGTTGCAGTAAGGAAGCATTCTTCAACTTCATTGTCAGCACCACCACCTATTTTACACATTCCAATTAGAACTTAGAAACCCAGTAGCAATACACAATAAAAAACAGCAAACTAGCAAAGCAGAAAAGATCATTTCCTCAAGGACAAAACAACAAAGATTCTAAGAAGTAAAGGGTGAAAACTGAGTAATTACCAGGTTTTTCAGGAGTTCACATCCCAATCCTCCTGCTCCAATAACCAGCACTTTACATGTGCTTAACAAAAACTCGAGAGCCTGTGGAAAAGACAAAACACAAAATTAATACACCAAATAGGGAAAAGTGTCATTTGTCCTTTGCTTTGTAACCTTTATACATGAATTCTCATAAATTTTCAGTGCCTACTAAGTCTCAATAAAAGAAGTTCCTCTATCCCAACTTACAGAAAAGCAAGGCCTTTGCTGCTATCAGTAATCTCTCTGTATTAATTCTGACCATGAAAAAAACAAGTTTCACTTTTATTACTATTTGGTTTAAGGAGATGTTTTATTCCTCCAAATATTTTACTGGAATATAATACAAAATAAATGTAAACAGACAGACAACATTGCTGGCTAAAAAGAATTGCAATTTTTAACTATATAACTGCTTTCTGTGAACTGCACTGTTAGACCCCAGCCTCAAATGAGTAAATAATGGATCAGAACATGACAAAGGTAATGGTGAAATACAAACAACTGTAAGCTCTTAAGATGTACTAAAAAAGGAAAGCAGAAAAAGTTAATTAAAACAGCCTAAATTTTGGTTTTCCTTATTAAGCATCTTTCTCAATTCTCTTAGTATCACATTAAACTTAATTCTTTAAGTACAAAAAACTCTTCACTGTATCTAATGACTTACAAATGGAGAGACAAATGCTGCTGTTCTCCACGTGGATCCCAAAAGAGCATTATTCATATGTTATATACACTTATAGACAGTGCCAGCAAGCTTGTAGCTGGCAGTGCACAGTTTAGAAACACAAGCACATGAACAGAATACTGTATGTTCTTCTAAAATCATCATGTTCCATTCATTAAAAGCTTTTCAGGCAGCTTATTTCATACCCTGCTGGCAGTCAACTAATGAAACTGTTTCTGTTAGTTTGTAACACAGGCTACAAAGTTTTTATTTAAAGGAAGTGTTTCTCACTTGAGTGCCTGGCTCGAAATCAGGATGTGTGAATGGTCCAGATCGCTCCAGGAACTTCCTTACATGGTTCCAGCGACCTTCCCAGTCTCCAGTGTCCCCACACCCACCATCAACAGCCATTCTGCACAGAACACAGTAAATTCAGCTGCAAAATCACAGAGAAAAAGCCACACCTCTACAAATTTCTTTAAATAACTTAAAAACACCTAAATTATTCACTGTTCATACAAATGCACCTGCATATTCCTTAGGCATGTGTATCATGTGCATGAACATTTGCATGAGCCAGTTTTATCTGTGGAACTAGAAAGCAGTAATACAATTATGCAGAGGAGAAAAAGCCCAGGCTTTCCAATAAATCCCACCCATTTAGCTGTTTACTAGTAAAAGTTGACCTGAAATGGAAAAAAAAAGGGTAGAGCCTTTTTGCTTTTATTTCCCTCATATTTAAAGAGGACACAGGAAAAAAAAAAAGTTGTCTGTTTAGATTTTGAGAGTAACACTCTGATTTGAAAAAAGGAATTTTTGCAGTGCTCTTAAATCTTGAAGATGCATTTTGGTGCCACATACTCCACTACCCTTTTTCACCTTTTGCAGGTCACTCTTAATAGTATGTAGCTGCAAATTTCAACTGGTCTGAGACTTACTGGAGTAGTTCAAGATCAGCTCTCAAGTAATTCTGTGACCTCAGATCATCAGCTACACAGAAGAAGGAAGCCCTTCCTTAGCAGAGTGCAATTCCCCTTTTAAACAGGAGCTCCACTCAACATAAACAAATGAATTTATTCTACATGAATAGCAAAAGAAGCTCGTTCTAAAAGAGCTTTGCCAACCTCAAGGATGCAAGGTTGTGTCACCACTGATAAGGAGTGTCATTTGCTTCCTCTTATGAAGTAACACAAAGAATACTCATACCAATAACTGGGTTTGGGTAATGCTTAGAAGCTATTATTACTTCCTGGTGACTCATCTCAAAATAAAAGGGAAAATGTAGCAAAAACCTCTAAACAGTGAATGCCTTTATCCTCATGGAATTCAGATGGACAACACATCGTGTCTGCAGGAAATTTAACTTACAGGGAATTCATCTCACAAAAGATTTTTCTACAACAGGGAAAAACTTCACTAAAGCACAGGAATAAATAAATGTTTTTGCCTATGTTTTGACTGCAGACTGAACTCAGACCTGTTGACTTTCAGTAAGTCATTTACTCCATCAGCAGTTCAATAACAGCTACAAAATTTCACTTGTGTGAAATGTGACTTAAGCAAATGGGTCAGTGCACATCCTAATAATTACTCCTATGGGTTATAGCATCATTTTAAACTCTTCCAGAACAAGTGCAGAAGCTATGCTTGGTGACATTATGAACAACTTTTTTTAATCCTTTTATATAGTCCATATAAAGAGCCATTAGGCAGCAACACTCCTTTTCTGTTTAGATCTGTGTTTTCCTTTGCCAGTGATAAAATGTTAAATTCTAGTTTCACTTTTGTAATTATACTGTGGTTTGGTTTTTACAGGGTTGGATGTTGTGGAGATCTGAAAACCACCAATAACTCAACTTGAGGTTTTATGTTTAATTTCCAAGACAATTTTTTTTAAGTGTTTATTTTTGTGTCGTTACAGCACTACCAGGTTTGTGTACTATTAAAAGTTTAACAAAATTTTCACTTATTTCATCAAATTAATTTTAAATTTTGTTTAGAATATCAGAGCACCACAGTCTTTATATTATTTAGGCCCAGACTTTTCCCTGCCACCTTCACATCTCCAAAGCTCCATGCTTTTGAGGGACTTGGCATGCACCCCCCAGTCCAACATGCCCAAGGATTTGGGTGACCCTGTGACACACACGTGTGCTGCCACCACTCAGGCAGGCAGGTCTGCTCTGTGACCTTTGGGAAGAGGGCCACAAGCAGATGGAAGGGAATAGTTAGGGGATGGAAGCAGATGAGGTTAAAGATCTCTGAGCATTAGTTTTCAAGGCCGTTAAGACAGATGCGTAGAATTTAGGATTTTAATAAGCAGAGGCAACCATACTGTAGCATGAATTTTTAATTTTCAGCCAAATTTTAGTCACCTGCTTTTAGGTGCAGGCCCTCCCCAGGTCCCTGATCAGCAATGCAGCTTTTTCCACTCCTACCACAAAGCTCTCCAGCACACCAGCCTTTACTCATGCCAAGCTCCAAGCCCGCAATTCCCATCCCCACTCGGGGTGAGCCCCTTGGTCCTCTCCCCAGAAGATTCCTCTTCCCCAGTCCTTGCTGTTTCAAGCGCCCTTTCGCCTTCCCCCTCCTCACAGCGTCTCACCTAACGCCTTTCCCCGCTCCCCGCTCCGGCCCAAGCTCTGGCCC